CTGTCCATGAGTCCTACTCAGGTCTTTCAAATTCAAGGCTGTGGCTTCCCTAATGGAGTCAATCCATCTTCTATTTGGTCTTCTTTTTCCTTCAATTTTCCTTAGCATGATTGTCTTTGCTGAGAAATCTTGCCTTCTCATGATGTGTCCAAAGTATTACTGCCTCAGTTCTGTAATTAAGTTTCTAAGGAAAGCTCTGGCTTGATTCGATTTAACACTCACTTGGTTCTCTTTCTGTCATTCCAGGGTATTTGTGAAGCTCTCTTCCAGCACCATGTTTTGAAAGCATCAATTTTCTTCCTGTCAGCTTTCCTCACTGTCTGGCTCTTACAGCCATTCACAGTATTTCTGCTACTACTTACAGTTATATTCTACATCTAGTAACAAAGAGAGTATGTTTCTCTATTCCAGTTGCAAGAGAACACCAGCAGGAAGATGTGATTACATTCATGTCCTGCTTGCAGGCTTCTCATATGTTTCTAGTTGGCCAGTGGCAACAGAAAGCTGACTAGTCAGTCTTTGGTCTGATCCAGCACTGCTCTTCTTACGTTCTTATGTTTTTCTTACAACCAGACCCAACCCACTGGCCATTGTACAAGTCTGATGCTACATACAGTATGGCAACTGGAAGAGATAACTTGTGTTCACTTGGAACATAATTAACACTTCGCAAGCATAATGGTCCATATGCCCCACTACACTTGTATAACTCAACGTTGTGATCAATTGTGTTTGAGAAACCCAGTGCAGTTGGCTGTTTTGTTCTCATTTACATTACTAATGGAAGGAGGCAAAATATATCGCAGGTTGTCAAGTATTTGGAGGATTTATTCTGCATATAAGCACCTGTTCAAGCCTACAATGACAGCTGAGATGTTTTTCCTCTCAAGGTTCCATTTGCAGCTGTGCTTACATTCTTGAAGGATAAAACTGGGCTTATTTACATCATTTCATTACATCCATAAGAAATTACTCTCCCTGCCATTTTGTATAGCTCTAATCAGAAACCATATCAACTGAAAATCCTTTTGAGAGAGGGATAGAGGGTCAACAGCATGTAAGGAGCAATTCATCCTCAGTGCCTTCATCTGCAGGGAATTATACACCCCGTCTTTATGAACTGTAAAATCAATGTACAATGTGTTGCCTCGATTTTAAACAATTTTCAGTGCATGAAAGATATTGGTTTGGCTCCACCCAGGAGTTTATTTTTGCTTAGGGTGCTTTTTTAATGCTGATTTCCATCTTTGCTATAAAACATGTTAAAATTTGTCAGACTATAGATAGTTTAAATCAGTAAGGAGTAGCACAACACCCACCCCCTTCCGCTATGATCAGCAATGATCTGAAGCCCTATTAACACACTGCATTGAGCTGGCATGGGTGTATGTCATCACCATAGCCTTCCCATTCCTATATATTACCACTAGATATCACTCCTATATTAATTTGGTTAGATGCAACAGCATAGTTAGATAGCAGGTTTGTGGAATGCATTTCTTGCCCACCTTCTGCCCAGGATAGTGGACAGCAGTTCCCATCAGTCTTATCTGTTGCTGTTATGTGCTGTCAAGCCATCTCCAACTTATTGCAACCCTAAGGGTGAAAGACGTCCGAAATGTCCATTCCATGACATCCCTTCTTAGCTATTTTAGATTTAAGGCTGTGGCTTCCTTTCTGGAGTCAATCCATCTCTTACTTGGTCTTCTTCTTCCTCTGCCTTTGACTTTCCCTAGCATGATTGTCTTCTCCAGTGAGTCTTGGCTCCTCATGTTGGTTCTAAAGTATGACAGGCTCAGTTTTGTCATGTGGCTTCTAGGGAAAGTTCTGGGTTAATTTGTTCTGGGACAAATTTGTTCTAGGACCCATGTTTGGCTTCAACAAACTGCTGTGTGCATGTTCAGAGATCTGTTCTGGGTGATTTGCACCTGGGAGCAATAAAGAACATATTTCAAGGAAAATTGTGACTTGTCTGCTTGAAGGAGAAACCTCAGCTCACAGCAGCTTATATGCAACCTACTGTTAACCTCCAGAAACTACCCTTATGAACATGCCTGAGCCCCAGCAGGAGGTGCCCTCATGCCTCCTTCTCTATGTGTTGCTCATTCAATTGAGCCTCCTTTCTCTGGTGACACCTTTTCATAGGGTAAATGGCAGGGGCTGGGCCTGTGTCTGAGAGTTCCTCATCCTCAGCAGTCCCTTCCACCACCTGTACATCTTGGCCATTCCCAGGAAGTACCTTGCTAGGTGAGATACCTAGCCTTGAGATAATCACCTCATCTGCCTGCATCTGAGAATCTTGTCCTTGCCCATCTTCCCCAATTCCATTGTGATCAAATTCACTTTCTGATTTTGAAGAATAGTCTGGGAAACAGCCAGCAGCCCAAGAGAATTACTGCCCCAAGCTGCCATGCTTCTTACACCCAACAGGGAGATTGTATTCCTATAGACCATGGCCACCTCTTCTCCCCAGTCCTCAAGTTGATGTTGGTGCTGTACTGAGTACCCAGGAGGGCACAGCTGGGAGTGATTCCTTTCAGTTCAGCCTTCCAGGTCTCAGTGATAGAAGGCAGGACAGCCCCCTCATCCACAATCATATCAAGGACCCATCTTTCTGTCAGCCCAGGCTATTTGCAAAGCTTTCCTTTGATATCATGTTTCAAACAAATCAATTTTCAAGCCCCGGCTAGTAAAGCTAATATTGAAACACACTGGGATCTGAAATCCAGAGATGTCTAGAGCACCATGCCTTTCCCATTCATGCTATATACATACTGGCCTTGCACCTGAGTTTTGCCAGTGTAGTGTAAAGCTGCTATAAGGCTGTTTTCTGTGTTCTCATAGCTATTGCAGAAGACATTGACTTTGTTCAGGGCAACTTTGGATGATGGTGTGACAGTAATAATGCCATTAAAAGTAACATGTAAACCTGACTTAAATTTGCCTCAAAGTAGGAAAATGGGGGAAACAACATTATTTATTTGTTAGTTTATTTATTTACAAGATTTATATACCCCTCATATTTGAGTATAAAACTTCTGGAGTGGTGTACAAGAGACATAGAAAAGCAAAAGAATGGTTAAAATAAAATCAATAAAATCATAGCAGGTTAGTTTGGGAAGGATTCCTGAAACAAAAGTATTTTGGGGAAGCACTGAAAAGCACAGTTTGGCATCTGCCTGACCTCCAAAAAGAGGGAGTTCCAGAGAAATGGAGGCACTTCAGTGAAGGTTCTTCTTGGAGTGAGCTGCAAGTAGGCCAGAGATCAATAGGGAACCACCTGTGACATCATGCCAACAGAGTATTGATAAACAGTTGCATCTTGCTGACTGGAACAGTTTCTCCACTAACATCTCCTTCTCCTTTCTTGTCCTCTGAATTACCCACCTTGTAATTGTTCCGGTTTTTTTCCTTTGGTCAGTTGTCTTAACTTCTTGAAACAAAGCTCAAATGCTAAGTATAATGTGTTCTAAAAGCAATGTCTGCTGGAAAAATAGGACAGAAGCAAAGCAGCTACAGCTAGCTCAGTGTCTCACTGAATTAAATTGTAATCCCATATCAATTTATCTGAGAGTAAGGCCCATTGGACTTACTTTTAGGAAACATTTATAGAATTGTGCTGTTAGAGATGATGTCACCATCTTTGGTGTGGAACTGACATATTTACTGTGAGCAAAGTAAGAAAATAAGGCATGAAGGGCTTACAGAGCTCACAAGAGAAAATATGGCCATATTGTCAGACTGCTCTGTAAGTTTCTATCTGTTTTGGAATGACCACCCCAGGGTTGGTTTTGAGACAGTGGTTTAAATTGGACAGTAGTTTCAACATCATCCCTTTTGTCTTCCTTCGTCTTCCTCCCTGCCATCCTGAAATCTGCACTGGTGGGGGTTCCCAGCAATCATGAGCCAAGTTTGTGGGTCCACAGGGACTGCAGGGAAAAGATGGGAAAGCACCCTGCTTTCCGGTCGTGCTGATGGAACAGCTTACCAACGGTATTAGACACACCCCAGTAGCTGGAGTTACAGGGATGTAGAGTGTGGAATCAAAGTCAGAAAGCCAGCTGTACATTTTGACAAAGAATTTGGGGTGAATAGGTTAATGACACCACATTACAGATACAGCTTACTCATGATATCATATTTCTGTTACACTGTGGACCAGGATAATCCTTCCTCAAGGGTGTGCAGGCGGAACTAAAAGATCGGAGTGGTTAGCTACGTGAAGAGTGTACAACAATATCATATTTTATTTAATATTTTAACCCAGAAAGTAAATAAATTAGCTATAGGATAACTGCTTTGCTTTCTCCATTGTGACTAAGCTTATGGACAGGGAATTAATTATATGGGAACTAAGAACATTTATTTCTTGATTTTAAAGCAACGGAGGAGAAGAGAACATTGAAAGAAACAGGTGGACATAATGTAAAAAAAATCTTAAACACATTAGCAGTGTGGCATATGTGGCTCTCCAAATGTTGCTGAATTGCTACTTTAGAAATCCCTAGTCAGCATAGCCAGTGTTGAGAGATGATGCAAGTTGCAATCCAGAAAGCATCTAGAATGACATGTTTCCCATCCCTGGCTTATATATTCTAAAACAGCAAACACAAAGCAAAATATATGTTCTTCAAACTCATAAGGATGATGCAAAGAAACACCATCTGTACAATATGATCTTCAAGATATTTGTCAAAGTTATCTTGTTTAAAAAATTTCTTCCAATCTATAAACCCACTGGTTATATTGTTGGTAAATTTGATTGCATTTTGTTACACCTCCTCTGAATAAGCATAGAAAGTACTCTGAACCTAAATTTCAGAGGCATTTTTGATACGACAAAGTAAAATACTTGCTTCAGAATTACATGGTATTATTTGAATATTTATTTTACAGAAAACTGAAAAGGATATGGAATTCAGATAATTCAGATCTTTCTCTTTCTCTCTTTTGGAAAAAGAGGAACAGCAGGATATTGTTTTCATTTCTGTCTTCAACAGGATTATTTTACAAATGGAGACAGAATACTTAAAAAAGACTCTCAGCAGGACTACCATCTGGAGTATGCCATGGAAAACAGCACCCATACGATACTTGCCTTCAGCCGGCAGCTTCATACTTGTGACCCCAATGACAAGACTATAACGGTAAAGCAGTTCATGGTAAATCCGACTCAGAGAGAAAGAGAAGAAAGAGAGATCGAGATCAAAATCAGTTAAATCAAAACTGAATAAATAAAATAGTTTGAATAAAAACCCAATTAAAATTATTTGTGAATCTCTTATTCTCATGTTGGATTAGCCATTATATTAACAATGCATCGTTACTATTATGTTAAATATGCTTAGCATGAGAAAGAAGTTTTCCTCCTTAAGCTATTGTCCCTATAACTGAATTAGTGCAATTAGAGGATGTATAGAAGTCATGTATATGAGCTGACCAACCATAATAACCCAGGAGCAGGTCCCACTGAAATCCGTAGGACTTATTTCTGAGTAGTCGTGAATCACAGAATATGCTTCAGCAGCAGGCTTCCAGGTCCATAGATCTACAGCTAATTGAATGCCCATGTTCTAGATTACTTCCATGCCACTTGAACCCTGTAAATATCACCTAAGGAAACTCATCTGAATCTGCTTAATGATCTTTTAGAAACAAGACTGAGGTAGTTGGATATTCTGCTGTGGTAAACTGTGATAATAAGCTTAAGGCACCATCTTACACAAGTTCAGAAAACCGTTACAACTTCCAGCATCCCCTAGCTAGTCACAGTGGAGAGAGTAGAGAACTTAGGACTTTTATGAGTTTCAACATGTACAGACCTGTGTCCTTGGTTTTCTTCTTACTGAACACCTATTCTTCTTTACTAAACATCTATTCAATAAAGTTTCTCTTGTTCCAGGAAAGCACAGTGCGCGTGATATGGGCGTACCATGACAAAGACTTCAGGGAAGGAAGTCAAAATTATCATGGTATGAATCGAGGGACAAAGAGTCTTCGTTTATTGAACCCAGAGAGGAATGCTGTTATCTCTTCCTCCCTGTCATATTTTGACTTGGCAAACCAAGACGTAAGTTACTTTGGGTTTTGCTGTTATTGAGTATCGGGGTAAGGTGCATAGAACTGCTGGCTGAATGCACAGGAAACAAAAATTAGAGTTTGACATTATATTAGCTATTTCTTATCTTTTTATTAAGACAGGTGCCTATTCCAGACAAAGACACAACATATTGGTGCCAAATGTTTAAGATCCCTCCACTGCATGAAAAGCATCATGTAATAAAGGTAAGTCATCTAGCTAAAGAAATCTCGGTCTATATATATGGGAATTTGCCGTCTCGAATCCCGAAGTCAACCTTCTTTGCTGTGGATTTCTTTATTTATGAGATTTTAGAAATAGCAAAGATCTTTGGTGCATAGTGTTAGCTTTAAAAAGTACACTGTTGCATTAGCTTTCTATTCAGCTTTCTGTTCTGCCAAAGTTCTGTTGACAACCTTTAATCTTAGATAAATCGAACAAGAATTGATAAAGAACTGGATTTAGATCCACCAACAGTTTCCCCTAATTTAGGAGAGAAGTTTGAGATTTGAATGTTTCTGTTGAAATGGGAAATCCATTTTTCCACATGGCTTACTGGATTTGATCCTTCAGTCTTTAAGCGCTCAGTTCCTCATTACACCTGAGACAGAGATGGTTATTTCATGCCGTTTTACTTATTAGGATTTTAAATAAGGACCTTAACAGAGCATCCATTTCTTATTCTGAACCAGTTTATATTTGTAAATATGAGACTCAAAGGTTATTTGTATATTTTGAAATGTCACAAAATCTCAAGACCAGAGCTATATGCAGTTTTCATATGGGAAAGAATAACGTTCCTTTATGCCTGCATATATATCTTGTGGCTAGATGTGCACTTGCATCATGCTTTGAAAGACTCCACAGATGCCAAAGGCACAATTCCTTGCATATAACTTTTGACTAGATATACTCCTGATATCCTGAGTGTTCTACAATTCAAGAGATCGTTCAATATATTATGTATGCTGTTCAGGTCTTCCAGCTCCCATGTACTTCAAATTAAGTTCCCTGATATCTCTTGCCACTTTTTTTTGGGGGGGGGTGTCTCAGTTCACCTGAGTAAATATGAACAGTATAAATTGGATTCCTCTTGACAGAGACAATAGAAAGGGATCTTCCAACCATCTCTGTGAACAGTTTCAAAAAGCTCTAATTCTGCTCTTTGAAGACTGACCAAAGATGACGTTATGGTCTTGTGTAATGATACAGAAGGCATGCATGTTGGGAGAATATTTGTAGTTCTCCATTCTGACACAGAAGCCTTTCTTTCCCTTTTGAATTTCATCAACTGCTCAAATAATACACAGATACATGAAGCACATTTAACAAATTCCACAATCAGTATGAAGTACAACACTCCACATGCCAAAGCCTTTGAAATAATCTGAATGAGTTACAAACTGGTTTTTCTTTCCCTTCACCCAATATGTTTACATGTTATTGTTGTCATAACAATTTCAACAAATGTAATAAAGAAACCACTACAATACAGTTGCATTTGGGTCACCAGTCTGTGTCACCCTCTTCACATCCCACCATTTTATTTTAGTCCTGGGGTGTTTACATAAATAAGCTAGGAAAAGATGTCTTTTCATAAAATAAGTGGGATGTTGAAACGAGCAGAGTCCCAGTCCCTTTGTTGGCATATGACATACAAGCTTAAGTTCAAGGAAATGGTTCTGTTTAGCTGAAGTCTCTTTTAATGAGCCAATCTTTCAGCTAGCACCAGGTACCAGACTAGCAAGATCCAATTGTCTATATTAATACAGTCTGAAACTGTTTCCCAGTTATTGGATATTTATATCCTTGCTACTGCTAATAAAAATATAGAGAACAAAACAAGGAATAGGTCTGCTTTAGCCATTGGCTTATTTATTTATTGATTAACATTTCTATAATGTCTTATTCATACAGAAGTCCTAAAGGCAGTTACAATGATTTAAGGCAATAGGCCCTTACAACAATGAAAACAAGAACATTAGAAGTACTTTTGTTGGGGAAGGGGATGCTAAATTGAAAATCTGTGTTTTCACGTTCTTTCTATAGGCCAAAAGAATGGGGACCAAGCATAGTTTTTGCCTCCAAACCAAGTGTGTTTAAAAAATGGGGTTTCTGCAGTGGTGCACTCAAAAGGACTTCTCCTGTTGATCTTAGTACTCAGGCATGTATATAGCAGCTGGTTCTTAAGATATAGCACCTTGCAGAAGTATTCGCCCTCTTCCCCAACTTTTCCACATTTTCTGGTGCTACAATTTAGAATTGAAATTGATTTAATCAGCACAGTTACTGCTTGCTGTACATAAGATACTCAAAACTGTGAAGGTACAAAATATTTTTATTATGACATACAAGTAAACAAAAACAAACTTGTTGGTTGCGTGAGTATGCACTCCCATGATACAATACTTGGTAAAGGAGCATTGGGGGCAATTGTCTATCAGCTTTGCACATCTGGCTTCTATGCAAAAACTTCTGTTCTTTCTGCCAAAACTCCAGATTATTCGGGGGCCATTGGTGAACAGCAGTGTTCAAGTCTTGCCATGGATTCCTCATCAGATTGAGGCTTGGGCAATGACTGGGCCATTCAAAGACATTCAAGTTCTCAGTTTTCAGTCACTCCAGTGTTACTCTGGCTATTTATTTAGGATCATTGCCCTGTCTGCTCTGCTCCAGTCCTAGGTCCCTTGCAGACTGAAGCAGCTTTTTCTCTAGAATTGCCCTGTGTTTGACACCTTCCATCTTGCCCTCAATCCTGACCAGTTTACCAGTCCCTCCCAGGGAAAGTATCCCAACTGCATGATGCTGGCATCACTATGCTACACTGTGGGCATGGTGTTCTCAGGACAGTGAGCACCATTGGCTTTGTACCACATGGCAAGGCCCCTCATCAGGGCCCCAAAATTCAGTTTTGGTCTCATCACAGCAAAGAACCTTTTCCATGTGTTTGCGGTGTTTCCCACATGCCTTCCTGGAAACACTTAAACAGGCTCTGATAATGGGGTTGTCTCAGCAATAGTGTTCTTTCATAAAGCCTCGCTTTGTTGAGTGTCCAGGTAGTAGCTTGGACACATGGATGGCTTGTTCTGTGCCAGCTGTGGAACCACCACTGGCCTCTTGGTTGCTTCGGTGGCTATTGGCGAACAACCTTCCCCAGGCAGAGTTGCAGTTGAGCCACTTTTTTTCCATTTTGTTATAGAGGATTTAATTAATTAATCCTCAGGATGTTCATACTTTGAGATATTTTTATAACCCCGGTCCTGATAGTTCCTTGGTCTTCATTACGCTGTCAGTTTAGACATGCTCTGTGTGGCCTTCCAGAAACAGGTGTTTTTAATCTGAGGTCACGTGGCTCTGGAATTGCACACAGGTGGGCTCCATTCAGTGACTCACAGTACTCTGGAGGCTATAGCTTGCACCAGTGTTTATTTAGGCATGTCACTGCAAAGGGGGTACACCTTATGCAACCAACACGTGTCAGATTGTTTTTGTTTGCTTAACTTCTGTGCCAAAGTGAAAATGTTTTATACTTTCATAGTGTTGAGTATCTTGTGTCCATCAAATGATAGCAATGGCAAGTAAATCCATTTCCATTTCAACTAGTAACACAGCAAAACATGAAAAAGTCAAAGATGGTATGAGAATACTTCCACTATAGCTGGGTCCTAAGCTGTTTAGGATTTTAAAGGTTAAGACTAGCGTAAGACCCGATATAATCATAAAGATCTTGACCCATATCTCCTTGAAGGACCATCACATGAAGATAAGAGAACCTCTTTCTCTACACCTTCCCCAACATAATCAGGGCAAACTAATATAGGAATAAAGTCTCCAGCAGACACATGTGAATGGGATTTTTTTTTTTTACTCATTGAAATAATTTTCAGAGGCGGTTCCATCCAGTTGGAGCTCCAAACAGCTTCAGAGAAATCTTCTTCACACAAGTTGAGAACTATTCCTCTGCAGTTGCAAAGTATTACAGTTGCTTTTCAACACTTGTTCATTCTTGAATTACAAAGAAAAGGATTAAGAGCATTGTAAATGATAATAGCTGCTTTGAGTGCCAGTTTTTGGTAGGAAGGTGTTGTACAAATCACATAAACAAATACATAATAGAGATTTGACTATGTTGCACCAAACCAAAGAAACACACCCTTCTTCAGTTTGTTAGGTGGAGTGGAAAGACAAAATCTTGCCCAGCCATTAAGACATTAGGTTGATTTTATAGCCAATAACTTCCTCCAGCAATAAGCACTAAAACACCTGATTTGGTTGCTTCGAATCACAAATGTCTTTAACCAAGGATGCATCATTTACCATAGCATGTCCTTACCTAGTTTTCATTAATATCCCAAATCAAGAGATGACATTCTTTGACTGATGTGCTAACTTTAACCATCCTAATTGCAACTACCCTATGAAGTTCTGGCAGTAACAATTACCTACTTTTTGTGACTTGCGGTACCCCTAGAATCCTTAAATTCTTTTAGCCTTCCAGTTTGTATACTTCATTGGCCCATTTTTACTCAATCTGTACTATACTGCAAGAAAGTATACAAATACCTAGTACTATTAGATCTTCCCCATTTTTAGACTCTCCCTTTTGTAGCCGCAGCTTTTTCTGCTGCTTGCAGTTTCCCCTTTTCTCCCTTTGGTCTGCTCATACTTTGTATTTGTATTTTGCCCCCTGCCTTATCTGCATCACTGGCTGCTGAGGCGGGTGACAGCGGCACACACAGAGTTTACATTCCCCCAGCAGTCCACAGGTTGAGCAATGCAAGGGCCCTGCAGCGTGGGACAGGCTTGGAAAACACCCTGATGCAATCCTTCTCTCAGCCCTGCCCTTACTTTTGATGACCTTGTGTCAAAGAGGTAGACCTGGATGTAAACAGTGGGTACTTGTAAGTTCTCTAGAGGACCGTGCATAGACACAGAAGGGGCTTAAGTTCTGCAGGCCTTCTTTTGAGAACCATCAGTGCAGCATCATGAAGTAGGCACAGAAGGCTGGATACTGGCTGAATTTCATCTGAAATGTATGCCGCTGAAATAGGGGCCCATTAATGTTACTCTAGCTGTGTACATTTTTCTAGGAGTGACTCCTGTGCATCTGAACTAACTTTTAGATGGCTGTATGTATTCATGAGTATTTATAAACTGCTTACCTCTAAAATTGTCAAGCAATGTACACACATTACAAAAACATTAA